TACTAATAGGAAAAGGGAAATGAGGTAATCCGCTGACCCTGAAGGACTGGAGACAGTGCTGAACCCACCCTAAAGAACCGAGCTGTTCATGCTGTCTGTACACGCAAGCAGAATAGCTGAGGACTGCTGCACTCCTCAAGGCTCAGCTGCCTGTAGTATCGGCAAGGCTGTGCAGAGTCCGGGCAGCAGAGTTCAGTGACAGTACAGTATGCACTTGAATGCAGTTTGCGTCCTCTTTGTTTGTTGTTATGCCAGATGTATCTCACTTTATGTTTGTAGCTAGGTTGTTTCCGGACTGTTCTGTCATGGTCTCTGATAGCTTTGGAAACCTGTAATTTGGTCTTTTTTCTTGGTGTTTCACACTCCACCAGGGATACCCTGCTTTGCAACCCAAAAGCCCTTGAGATCCTCCAGTCTTAGGAGAGTGTGGACAGAACATTGTTTAGTACACTGAGGTTTAGTATACTCCACACAATGGGCACATACCCATTATTTAACATCTAGACAATGGAGTCATCCTCATCCTCGAAATCTTTCATTTTCAGCTTTCTGATTCAGTGAAAGGTAACTTCTGATTGCGGAAAGCTGATTTTAGCAAGATCAACTGTAGCCCGTTCACTAAGACGGAGCAATTCCCTCCCCCCACTTTCCCCCTCTCTGTGGAAACTTCAGGCCTTATTAATTTTGCGTTGGTAAGGTTTCCAAGTGGCTGTGTGGTATGCAAATGTGAAAAGGGACTCCTGGTGACTTGGTGCCTTTCTGAAGGCCTTCCGCATTGTTGGCAGTGCTTGTATCTCTTTGTCTGGAGTATCACCAGGCGCTTGAAGGCATCCCTGCCTCCCATTGTTAGAGTGGCTGTTTGCTCAAGGGAAACCGCTGAGGCAGACAGGGGTCAGGAGATAGTTGTGTTTTGAGTGTATAAAGTTTCTAATCTCTGCAAAAACCATGCATGTATCAAATTTACCTCTATTTATTTATTTAATCATGTAATGGAGTGCTGAAGTGAACCCATTATGTAAAGAATAGCCCTGGGTTAGGGATTAATGCTCTAATGTTAAAGAGGTTTTGGCTTTAAGCCTCTGTCTTCTAAGGCTTGTGCTCAGGAATGTTTTCCAAAGGTAATGGCATCAGGTGAACTATATCCACCAGTCTGATTCACATTTCATTTCACTACAGAGGTATTTCTCACGTGTGAACTTCAGAACTCTATTTTAGATCACTTGCAGTATACGTTCTGTGCGATTTGTATAATAATTTATGAATCGGTGATTTGTTGGGCTGATGCTTTTTTTCCGAAATGACATATATCTGTACACATT